TAGACCGGGGAGAAAGTGTTTCCTACTAGAAATCTTCATGATGCTCTTTTACAGCCCAAAGAAAGAGCTTTTCCTCCGTCAATACTCCAGACTATGACTCCAGAGGAAGTAACTTCTACTGCTCTTTAAGGCCTGAAACTTTTTCAACAGGGGGCCAGTTCACTGTCCCTCAGACCATTGGAGGGCTGGACTGCAGGTCCTGGGATGAGTCAGCTGTTAAGCAGGACAGGCAGCAGTGGCAAAAACATTTAGCGGGCCGGATAAATGTCCTAGGCGGGCTGCATGTGGCCCATGGGTTGTAGTTTGAGGACGCCTGCTCTAGACCTTTGATTGGAAGCATTAATGCACAAGGCAATATAATTTTCAGATGTTCATTTGCCTCAAATCCACGTAGAAACAAAGCCTAGCTGAAATCAGCAGACCTGAAGAAAACAGTTCCTACTTTAAGTTTCATTTAAACACCTGATGGGAAGGTTTTTTGAAAACTTCAAGATGAAATGTTTATAGATAAACAGATATAATAGTTAATAGTAAAAATAATAAAAATGGAGCTCTATTTATAATAGCCTCGTTTTAATCATCTCATAATTAAAGGTAGCTATTACCTCCTTTTTATAGATGAGGAAACTGAGGTTCAAAGGTGCCAATAAACTTGCCCAAGTTCATATATCTACAAAGTAGAAAGCCTTGATCCATACTGAGGTCTGCTGACCACAGTTCCTGCTTATGCCACTGTACCCCATTGCCTTGGACTTATTCTATTTTTTATGTTTTTTCTCACCCAAAATGGCTCAACTGCTTTTAATTCTTGAACTAGTCACTTGGATGGTAGTCAAAATATTTGCCAGTGTTCTTTGTAAAGCTTCATGGCTTAGTGGCATACCAGACAACTTTTTTTTTTAAATTGAAGTTTATAAATATACACATGGAAGTCAAGAACAGGTTTCCCCAAGTGACTCAGGAGCACATTGACTATGAAGGAGAGGGTTTGCTGGCTTTCAGCAATTTGTGTGAAGAATGACATAGAGCCAGAAGAATGTGGCCAAGAAACCACCACAGATGTACCTACCCCCTTGCTTGGCTCCCAGGGGAATGGGGTGGAGCTGAGCCAGACCTGGAGGCAGAACATGACTGCTCATTGTGTAGGTGAACAGCCGGGATTCATTAAGGGCTGGAGACTTCCCTGGTGGGGCCAGCAATAGCAGCCTCCAATGGAAGGGCCCTTTGTCTTTTCCACAGTCCGCCCTTCTCCCTGGCCCTGATGGACTTGAACTTTGTGTGTTGCGCAGCTGATGAAAACCAAACTTAATTGCCAGGGGTCTGGGATGCCTCTGGCAGATTTGCAGACCAGTTTCCACTCTGCCCTCTCTCCTCTGGCTCTCCCTGTGGGTGTGTGGTTGCTGCTCAGTGGCTGATCTGCAAAGGTCCCAGCTCCAGGGGAGGGACTGCAGGTGGTCACAAAGCTAGCCTTCTCTGTTATGTATTCATTCACACGAAACTGGCTTCCTGGTGGCACTAGAAAAGGTACAGCTTTTGTTAGAGTGCCTTGTCCTTTCATGTGAAAATTAGTGTGTATTACGATTTGGAATTAAATGGGTGGTCTGACTCTACTATAGCCAGTCGTTGATTTCTGAATGCTGATTATTAGTAGATAATTCTTAATTCCAGGTATCATTCCCTACTTCCCAGCATGTCACTTTACCTTTTTTCATCCATAGACTTTCTTGTCATTTATTTTTCCCGGAAGCCAGCGGTTTTAGGAGGTAAGGGTGGGAGTGAGGTAGGGAGAATACAGTAGAAATACCTAACATTTAGTGAGGATTTAGTATATATTAGGCACCATTCTGAGCTTTTTACTCCAATCCTATAGTGTGAGTACCAAGTCCCAGTTACTGATATTCTTCCTGCTTAACATATAAAAAAACTAAGGCCATTATAGGTGAAATAATATGCCCCAGTGTAATAGGTAGAAAGTGGTCCATTCAGATTCAATGCTTTGCAGTACGATCCACAGCAAGTCAGGAATATGAAAAAGAACAAGGGTCCTCCAAATATCCACTATGCAGTTGGTAGTCTGTACTCAACAGTTGTATGTATCTTTAAGATCACTTTCCCAAATCCAAGAAATATTTGGCCAATTTTTCAGTTTTGACTTATAAAGATGAGTGATTCTAAAAAAGGTGAGATTTGCAGATGAGACTTGGAAGAAGGTCATGGCTCTTCCCAAAACTGCAAAATTTCGTATGTAATTTTGAGAGGCAAACTCCCTCTAAAAACCCCTTGCCAATAGGAAACTCCCAGTTTAAGGACCCCTGATTTAGAATAATACTAAACTATCAATATGAAAAATTGAGTTGACCACAATGGGGACAGAAGAAGCTAAACTTGTGTAGGAAAATCAAAATTTGTGTAGAGCTGTAAGGCCTCAGGTAAACCACTGACTTTTCTGTGATATAGTCACAGGTCCCACCTTAATCTCCCAGCCCTGGGTTTAATGAGAAGGTTCTATCTCATCACTGCTTTGAGTTCTCCAGAAAAATGTGTTTCCTTCCTTTGCAGAGGATCTGTCTGAGAGTTGTTTTCCCCTTCTCTGGCCCTAGGAAATTGGCAAACCCAAATAAGTGACAATAAACTAGCAAATCTACTCTTATGGGGATTCCAGAAACAGAAGTGCTGGCCTGTCTTTCCAGGCCCCTAAACCTGCAGAAGCAAAGATCTGGTACCGGGGACTTGGGGACTTCCTTAGGAAGCAGCCAATCAGGTTTGTTTGTAGGGGAAGAAAAGAAAACTCTTTTGTCTCTATTCATCTTAGGTTCATTGACTGGAAGCCTGTAACTGACAAAAGACAGATTAATAAGACAAAAATGAAAGTTTATTGACTACTTCACGTGGGAGTACCTAGTGAGGAGTAACTCAAAGGTATGGTTAGAACTTGGACTTACATACTGTCTTAACAAAAGAACAATTTGGAGAGAAGTGCCAAGACCGAGGAAAAGGACTTTTGAGCCTCTAGGGGTGGCAAATAATAGGAAGGCAAATCTATGGGGGAATTAATGGAAAATAAGGCTAATTAAAGTTTTGCTGTGTAGATTTTTCTGGACTGATAGGCGTCTAAGGCTGTTTCCAGTGATTAATTGCTACCCTTCTTGGTAGAGACAGGAGGTGAAGACACATTTCTGCTCAACTGCCCTCAGCTCAAAACAGTCCTTATGCCAAAGTGGCATATTTTGGAGGGACTATTTTTTGCTAGTCTTCAGGTTCGTTCCCTGGAGCCCCACCTTGTGAGTGTGTCCTACTATTGCTGTGGGAATGATCCAACACCTAACAGGTTGTGTGTATTGGGAGGGTGGGTGGGGATGAAGGGAAGAAGGGAATGGTGGTGTCAGCTGGTTGCAGAAAAGGATTCCTGAGAGCACCTTACACTTACAGTTATTTGGAAATCAAGTCATCTCATTCCTCTCATCCCCATGGAAAAGCATAAACATAAATTATGATACAAACATATAAATACAAGTCTAAGGTTGCTGTGAGCTATGAGGCCACAGCACTCTATTCAGGGCTATGGAGGGAGACTCTACCTCAAAAACAAACAAACAAAAACCCAACATATACTCATTATTTCCCAGTGACAGTAGTCAAATTCACTGCCTACTCCCCTCCGTGGGTTGAGATCCCATTTCTCAGAGCACAGGCCACACCTCCGGCTTTGGAAAGCCTCCCCACAGGGCCTGACCCTGAATGCTCACTGGCTTCTCTCAGCTTTGGTTCTTAATCTCATAGTCCAAAGAGGACCTAAGTGTGGCCCAAAGCCCCAGGTCCCCAGAACTGGGTGTGATTCTTGCTCTGCCACTTTCATTTGAGTGATCTTGAGTTAGTCATTTAATAATCTTTGTTTCTGCGTCCAAAACATTGGACAATACCACCGAGGATACTCAATGACTATAATGATTGAACATGATTTTGTATACCCAGAATCCTAAGAGGCTGCGTTTATTATCTAGCAGCCAGGGTCAGAGCCTCTGGACCCAAGCTGCCCAAGTTCAACCCTAGCTTTCATTAACCATCCTTCATTAACTCTGTGATTTTAGATGAATGATTGAGCTCTCAGGGCTCCATCTCCTATCTGTGAAACAGAGAGGATGGGCTTATTGTGAGGAATAACTGAATTAATACATATAAGGTACCCCAACCTGGCACAGAGAGTTGATTTAAAAATGTCACCTATTATCTTATCATCCTTATCTTGTCATCCTTCTGGCTTACTCCAAGATGTCATCAGCTGCCTGTAAGTACACTGAACTCCTTCACGGTGGAGGCAGCGGCCTGTCCTCTGTGTTCTTCTGTTCTGGAGCCTAATGCCCTACCTGGCATGGCTCTGAAGCTATTTATGTTGCTAAATTCACTATGGTGGACATCATGGGAAGATGAATTTTCCAGTAGACTGTACTTGCAAAAGGTAAGGTTTCCAAATGGTGATCTCTTTGGAGTAAACAGAGGAAAGAGGAGAGCTTGGGGGTAGACGGGGAGTGTTGAAAGTCGGGGAGGGAGCCGGGGATCTCAGGGATTGGAGGGAGGCACCCTTTTTCTCTTGTCACCAACTCCCTCACTCCGGCCATGCTTTTTAATTAAGCTCAGGTGTGGCGCCGCCCTTTCAGGGCACAACAGCTCCGGTCCTCACCTGAGCAATTGCAGTCCCGCGCACTTCTGCTCCCATCTGGGGTGCGACCCCCTTCCCCGCCCCAGCACCCAACGGGGGGAGCCCCCTCAGCCCGACCTGGACCCACCCCAAGCCGGTGCTTCCCTTTCCAGCCACACCTCCCCGGGCCGCGCAAGGGTTAAGAGAGCCGGGAGGTTTGGGCTGACGTTGCTCCGGCTGAAGGTGGCTCCCCTCGGATGGGGACCGGAGAGCCCGGCGAGCTGAAACCCGAGCTCCCGCTCTGCTGGGGCTTGGGGAGGTCCCTGTAAGAGCCGCCTGCCCGCCGGTCCCCCTCGGTTCCCCTCTCCCTCCCCCGCAGACGCTCGGGCACCGCCGCGGGAAGGATGGAGCCGGGCCGGTGGGCGCAGCTGGGGCTCACTTTCCTGCAGCTCCTTCTCATCTCCTCCCTGCCCAGAGGTACCGTGAGTAGCGACACCCCGGTGGGAGCAGGACCGGGAAGTTTCTTGAGGAGGTGGCAGGGAGGCGTGGGGAGGGACGCTTGGCTGGTGGTGCTGGAGCTCCCATGTCCTTCCTGAGGATGGGACACGGTTTTGTCACCCCTAATTATGAGACAGAACTATCGCAGGAAGAGGGGAACCAGCTCCAGTTTTATTGGTTCTTTTTAAACGTACCAGATGTCCTTGGGGAGTCTCTTCTGTCTGTGTTACCGCTTTGACTTCCCAAAGTGAAGTTTCCCCTGGGACCAGCTCACAGAGAGGTGAGCAGGAAAGAAAGAAGGTGGTGGTGGGGAGCAGGGAATAGAGAGCCCGGCTCTCTTGGCGTCCTTCCTGGGGAGTCGCACAGACAGAACCCTTCTGAACAGATCCGCAGCGTAGGGGCGGTACTCACTCAGCACACACACACACACACGTACATATCACACACACATCACACACTTCCTTCTCCATAGGGATGGGAAAGGTGAAGAAAAAGGAGAAGTTGGAAGTGCCCGTTGTTTCTGGGGGCGATGCACAGTGTTTGTCTGGAAAGAGCTCTGGCTTCTTTGTCTTTGGCAGGTCATCTTCTCAGCCACAATCTCGGATCAAAAGGTCTGCAGGGGGCCAACGAGGCCGGGACCCCACACAGAGCTCCTGGGAGCCTCCTGGCCCAGCCCTGGCAGAAGCAGGGAATGGCAAGCTTGTTCTGTGATCTCTTGGGTGCAGGCAGCAGGGAGGGGACAGATACAAAGACTGGGGCAGCTGTGGGTGGGAGCCTCTGCCTGTCCCTTCTGCTCTAGCTGTGTGTCACCTGGGCTCTGCCTGAGAGGTGGTTGCTGTGCTGCTATAAACAGCTGGCAAGTGCCTGAGAATGAAGCAGGACCAGTGGGGTGGTGAAGATGCCAAATGCAATAACCTACCGTGTAGAAGGGGGACACAGCCAGAAGGCCTCCTTCTTGACGGTATATGAACAGCTGAGATACATCAAACCCCCTCTGCCCCATTTGGGTCAATACCTTCCATCTGCTCAGAGCCTGCCTACCCAGGTAAAATCTTCCTTAGACATTTAGTATCAAGATGGCCAGAGTGTTTCATCTGAATTGTGCCTGGATTGGCATCTGGAGCAGGCTGAGGACAGCGAGGAAGGAAGAAGGAGCCCTTCCTAAGGGTCTGACCGCCCAGGAGCCTGAGCTTTTTCCCAGGGCTAAGCTGCAACTGTTGCATGAAGACTCTCGCTGCCCCATCTCTGCCTTTTGGAACCAAACCTGCAGAGTGTGGTGCCCTTAACCCAGTTCCAGAGGACCCTGGTTCTTCTCAGACTAGCAGGGTTCAGCAAATTCGATTTTTCACAGTTTTCTCACAGCATCAACGTTCTCTCCACTTTGTTTTTTAACAAAGTGGCAGGTAATATGGTTCAAACCCATAAAAGTTAAAAACCAAAGCTCAGCTGCCCCTTTTTTCTTTTTCTAGCCTAGGATCTGAAAAAACCCATTGATTTCTGACCCGAGAACCTTTTTTACCTTTTGCTATGAAAACGCTTTGGGGAGGGTGGTGCCTGGTTTCTTGGCAGCCAAGCTGCTGACTGAACCAGAGAGCAGCCTCACAGTGTCTAGTGAGGATATTTCAGTTGCCGAATGTTTTATTCACACTTAGAAGGAAGACGGAGGAATAGAGTGCCGAAGGAAAATATTTCTTCAAGTAGTAAAGGAGTCCACTCCCTTCTGGAATTCTGAATCTGGCCCTGTCGAGAAAAGCTTGGAAGCATGATCTCCTCTAATTAGTTTTCTAAAAAGAGTATTTGCTGAACTATAAACATCCACTGGGATAGTAGGGAGGGTGTTGTTGCTCACTGGCATGTGATCGCGTTGGGCGGATGAGAATCCAAACATGAGGCCAAGTGATAACCCAACATAAACAGAATGTGGGGGAGAAACCCAAGTCCGCGGCCGTGACCAAACAGCAGCAGCTCTGCCAAGGGCAATTCTGCCTGAATCGGAAAACCTCATTTAAAATATGGGCCTCTTGGGAACGAAACCTTAATCTGGAGAACTTTGCAAGCGTTGCTTCCAACAGACATTAGCTTGTGGGGAATGGACAGAAATACAACAGGGGAAGATAATTCAAAGTGCAGATACTTGGGGGCAGGAGCTGCCAGCTGAGAAAGGAATTGTGGAAAGAAATCAAGGGAGAAGGAGTGGCAAGAAAAATTAGATGGCAGCGTACACTGGGATGTGTTAGCAAATTCCAAGGAGACACAGAGAGAGAGAGCTTTGACAACTGGACCTTCATGGCAGGGGTGGGCTTTGTAGGGGATTATGAAGAGGATGTTTCCATCATGCATACTTCGAGAGCTCCTGGCTTCCCCAACAGGAAACTAATTTAATGATGGGATCATGGAGTTTGGGGAGCTAAGCGTCATCTTAGAGTGATAATTTTAGTTTGAGTTTCTCAATTTCAGAGGACATTGAAATCAAACATCTAGCTAATATTTCTTGAGCATTTAGGATGTGCCCAGTCTTTGAGCCCAATACTGTAAGTGCATTAATTCTCAGACTACCCTAATAAGGTGGATGCTGGGATTATCCCTGTTGTATAGATGAGGTTCAGGGAGGTTCTAAGGACAACCAGGCATGGTTCCTTAAAAAATTAAACATAGACTTGCCATTGGATCTAGCAATTCCACTTCTGGGTATATATACAAAAGAATTGAAAGCAGGGCCTCGATCATGGCAGCACTATTCTCAATAGTAGAAAGTAGAAACAGTCCAAATATCCATTGACAGATAAACAGAATATGGTCTATACCTACAATGGAACATTATTCAGCCTTAAAAATGAAGAAAATTCTATACATGCTTCGACATAGATGAAACTTGAAGATCTTACACTAAGTAAAATAAGCCAGACACAAAAAGGTTAAGACACTTATATAAAGTACTTAGAACAGTCAAATTCATAGAGACGGGAAATAGAATGGGGGTTATCAGCGGCCAGAGAGAGGATAGAATGGGTGTTATTATTTGGTGGGTACAGAGTTTTAGTTGGGGATGGTAATAAAGTTCTGGAGGTAGATGGTGGTGGTGGTTGCACAAAAATGTGAATGTGCTTATGTCATTGAGCTGTGCACTTAAAATGATTAGATAATTTTATGTGATATATATTTTGTAACAATAAATTTTAAAAAAGATAATACAGGATTAGTGGAGGCTGGGGTGAGCCCACGCTGTCTAATTTCTGAGCCCAAGTTCCCCTGTTACCTGATTGATTGACACATCTAGCATGTGGGTTGATTATGCTGATGTACATCCAACTTCAGAAAGGTTTCAGGACAGATACGAAGCGAGGGAGAGAGAGCCCTTGCTAGTTTCTGTTTTGGCGGCACCATTGCGGTCTTGACTGGCTATGGTAAAGAGAGAGATTGTTGAGCTAAAGGATGGCAAACTGGTAGCCCATGGGGCAAAATGCCTGTAAGAGCATTCAGTAGGACACAGTGCTTAGAAATGTTTTATACCCGAATGCCTTGAGGTAGGCTGGATCCTCTCTAGGGTCTGATGTACCACTTTCGCAACCTACATGTCTGAAACCTGCCAGACCCTACCAGCATTTGAATTTTTGACTTCTACCTCTAGATGGGACAAGGAGGTGGGCAATGAGAGAAAGCAGGTGGAGGACTGCATGCTGAATGGGGAGAAATGCAAGTGAGTAGAATCACTAAGGATTAATCGGTGCCAGGAATTTTAAAAGCATCTGATATTAACATAGTGGATTTACAAGCATCTAATATATTTTAACTTGCATGTTTCATGGAACATGAGTTTCCTTTTCTCTGTGACCTCCAACTCTTTGGTAAAAGGTTTCCCTCTCATGAATGTCTTGTATATGAGCTTTTGGTGGAAATGAGGATGAGGCTGGATGTTCTTTCTGGGTCAGTAAACTGTGGACAAAGCACCTTTGGTGACCCAGAAGCAGAGGTGACTTAAAGCATCTAAATCCTTAGAAGTATCTAGAAGTCTTGGAAAGAGCTTTGGAATGCCCCTGGCATGAACTATGGGTTTGACTTAATCTTATCTACACCTGGGTGACACTGGCTAGACAGAAACGGCTGAGGTAATGATGTCTGGGGGACCTAATGACTGGCTGTAAGTCAGAAAATTATTTCCATCTTCTCCTCTGAGGGTGGTCAATCTTGATGCAAGAGAAAACTTCTCAACCTGTCTCCCCTGAGGCCAGCTCTAGAAGCTGCAATTGATTTGGGGGGTGTGTGCAATTTGGGAAAAGTGCCATTCCAATGATAAATGAGGGAAGGTTACATCCCGCTCCCCCCAAAGGGAGAAGGAGCTGTCACATTCACTCTATAGATGTCTGAAAGTCATGAGGGCACAGCTGCCCTACACTCTTATTTTCTTTTCAAGGGGAGGGAAATGCAGTGTTTACATTTCTGGTTCCTGAATTCCAAGGCAGAGGACCCAGAGGCCAGCTGGAACATTGAGAGCTACCAGATCAGTGGCAGACAGTCTATCAGATCCCAAGCCTGGTCTATGTTTAAAGGAATTCTGTTTGTCATCATAGGATCTGAGCCAAAGCTTTTGGTTTATAATAGAGAGAAAGAAGTTTAAAAAAAGGGGGGGGGGAATAAACCAGACCTTGTACCTGTAAACAAAACCACAAAAGGAAGGCGGAGAATTGGAGTTGGCTGGAGATGTTCCACTCTCCGAATCAATGCCGTTATCTGTGAAACAGACTCAGAGCCTATGTGGGTTGAGAGTATAGTAAGCAAGGGTCACCTGTTGAATCTCTATCCTTGTGGACAGGAACATCAACAGTGGAAACACCTTTGGAGGGGCATGCCTAAGCAACCTGCTGTCAAATTTGGCTACCCAAATAATTTATTGAGTTGACATAGGCACTCTCTTACATGCTTTACATGTATTTAGTCAATCCTTGCAGAAAAACCTAGAAGGCATGTGTTGTTACTGTTAG